AAGACATTTCACTTCTCGTCCAAGAAGCTGCTTCAGCACTGTCTGGATGGTGGAGAATGGAAGGATTTATACTCCTTGCAGACAGCTGGTCATTTGCATTCTTTTAGAGAGTCATTGAGGCCATTTAGAGGTTTATCTGTGTCCTCAGGGTCCAAATGACCTCAACGACTACATACCCCCACCCAAACCCTAAGGACAGGAAACATAATAGGATTAACCCACCAATACCCAAAGGGCACACTCAGACTCAGGTCAAAGTACATGACATAGGAAATACAAAGCCTCAAACAGGAACAGGAAACAACCTCAAAAGCCCCACAAGGTATAAAAATCCAGCATTCCCTATTACATGTGGTCAGCTTTCCCAGAGCCACATTTCTGTCTGGCTCTCCTCTTTAATAAACTACAACCTTTCTAAAGCAGTCTCCATTTTGTTTATTCCCAGCTTGGACTGGACCCTGATGAAGATTTTTCATTCAACAATACATTACACAGGGAAAGTATAAAATGAAACCAAGCTCGAAAGGCAAATTTTGCCTGTACAATGTTGTCCATTTGTGGCATAAGCAATAGAGCAGTGGTTCTCAACCTTTTTAATGCCGTGACCCCCAACCGGTCGTAAGTCGAGGACTACTCAACCAGTCATAAGTCGAGCACTACTCAACTGGTGCAGCACCGTTTGCAGAATGGGACTTTTGATGGGCTCAGCAGGGCAGAGACAGCCTGGACAATTCCTATTGGCTTTTGAAAGCCAATAGAATTAGACTCTATGCGTTGTTTGGCGACCCCCGTGAAATGGTTGTTTGACCCCAAATGGGGTCCCGATCCACAGGTTGAGAACCACTGCAATAGAAGAACTGGTCCAAACCCGGACTTAACTTGTGCTATTTTGTTTTGTTTTGCTTCCAAAGCGTTGCCTCTTTCTGGGTCATCTTGAAAAATTGCAGCTGAGATGATGAATGCACTTGGTAATCCACAGTTGAGCTGTTCCATGGTGTGAATGGCTCCTGGTAAATTGTTAAAATGGTCGAAAAGTTCTCATATTTAAAGAAAAATAAATAAGTGTTGAAGGCAGTATTTTAAAGGATTGGAGTAGGAGCCAGCATTTCTTCTTATTTCAGCAGTACAGCTGAGTTTCCTAATAGCTGTCCTGAAATATGGTTATTTCTTCAAGGAACGAAAACAGCACCGCCCAGAGGTTCACCAAAATGACTGAGAGAGATTCCAAAGCTAAGAGGAAAAAAAAATCTGCCATCATTCTCCTTTCTCCTGGTTCAGAAATTATATTTTACTCAGGATTCACTATTTATCCTTATCCTTCTTCATGAAGTCATCAAAAATTAAGCATGACTTAAAAGTTTGAGCATGACTTAAAATTTCTCCTCCTCCTCCTCCTCCTCCTCGTTAGCTTCTCCTTCTCTTCCTTTCTTCACCTTTTCTCCTTCCTTCCTTCCTTCCTTCCTTCCTTCCTTCCTTCCTTCCTTCCTTCCTTCCTTCCTCCCTCCCTCCCTCCTTCCCTTCCTCTTGATAGAGATAGAATTATATTGATCTCTCTTGGCAATATAAATCTGAGACCAGTGACCAAGAAGATTTTCAGCCAAAGGGTTTACAGAGGAAACAAAACAAAATCAAATATAATGGCAAATATAACAATGTGATCAAATCCCAATCCCCTTGTTTAACAGGTATGCCACAAGTATAACATTCATATAAAAGGGGCAAGGATAAATCTACCATCTTGGCTTTTTTGACTGAGAATGCCCTGGCTCTTATGTAATGTGCCTTGAACGGCAGATCAAATAGCCTCTCTGAAGGATCTTAAAAGGCAAGACATGGGTTGTGCTCAACATATGACCACACCTGAGTCCCAAATGTCCATGGTTAAGCAAATCAGTCATTAAGTGAGTTTTGCCTCATTTTACGACCTTTCTTGCTACAGTTGTTAAGTGAATCATTGCAGTTGTTAAATTAGCAACACGGTTGTCAAGTGAACCTGGTTTCCCCATTCACTTTGGTTGTCAAAAGGTTTCAAAAGGGGATCACATGACCCTGGGACCTTGCAACCGTTATAACTCCTAGCCAAGTGTTCAGATTTTGATCATAGGATCATGTGGATGCTGTAATGGTTGCAAGTGTGAAAATCTGTCGTAAGTCGCTTTTTTCAGTGCTGTTGTAACTGTAAATGGTCGCTAAACAAATTGTTGTAAGTCAAGGACTACCTGTATCACGATACATTACAATGGTATTTGTACAGCATTGACTAAATATTAATGTTCAGGTATTTAGATCACTTAGCCCAGTGGTGGCAAACCTATGGCACGGGTGCCAGAGGTGGCACTCGGAGACCTCTCTGTGGGCACACGTGCCATTGCCCCAGCCTTGCCTCCACCCGTGACCCCCTCTCCAGCAGCCCCCCATGGAGGAGAGTCGCCCTCGAGCGTGGCCCACACGGAGCAGCGCAACCAAGGACATGGCAGCCAGGCAGTGTAGACAAGACTATGCCCTCACACCCCATTGTGCACAGTTGATGCTGCAGGGCACGGGCAGAGGGTGTGGCCGCCATAGTGCTGCAGGGCTGCCTGGGCAGTGAGTGGTCCTGGAGGCAGTGAGTGGTCCTGTGGGCAGGCGGGACGGGGGATGGGGGGGCAGAGCATGGGCGGGCAGGGGACATGGAGCGGAGGCAGGGCCAGTTTTTGGGCACTCGGTCTCTAAAAGATTCGCCATCACTGACTTAGCCTACTGAAGATATAAGAGAAGCATCGTATTAGTATTATCACTTAAAATGTCAGCGTTGATGAGTTTAAGATTATTTAGCTTTTTCACTCAGAATTGAATATACCATTAAAAACAAAAACCCACTGCAGATTGCATCAGAGTATGTGTTGCACAGTAAGAGTTTCGATCTTAAGTTGATTGCTTTATATTAAAATCTGTACGGTATTGTTTCCTAATATTATTTATGCATGTTGGAGAAAAAAAGGAAAAAAAAACATGAACAAAGCAAATGTGATAACAATTAAAACACACACAAAGACAAAAAAAAGAGGGAAAGAAAAAAGAACGTTTGCTTTCTAGCTCCTCCCAGCCTTTTGCTTCTGTTATTTTACAATATTTGTAAACCTGAAACTGTTAACATATAAAAGTCGTCCTTGATTTACAATCGTTCGTTCAGTGAACGTTTGAAGTTAAAATGGCACTGAAAAAAATAACGTGACCATTTTTCACACTTAACAACCATTGCACCAGCCCCATGATTACCGTATTTTCCGGCGTATAAGGCGACCCGGCGTATAAGAGGACCCCCAACTTCGGCGCTGATTTCAACGCTTTAGAAAGTCGTCTTATACACCGGAAAGTACGGTATGTATTCAAAATTCAGACTCTTGGCCACTGGCTCATAATTATGACGGGTTGCAGTGTCCAGGGGTCGTGTGATCCCCTTTTGCAACCTTCAGAGAAGCAAAGTCAATGGGGGAAGCCAGATTCACTTTACAATTAACTTACTAACTTAGTAACTGCAGGGATTCACTCAACAACTGTTGCAAGAAAGGTCGTAAAATGGGGCACAACTCACAACGGCCTTGCCTAGCAACAGAAATGTCGGGCTTGTCTTGTGGTCGTCATTTGAGGACTATCTGTAATGGAAGAATCACAGGGTTGGAAGGGACCTTAGAGGTTGTCTAGTCCAACCCCCCCTGCCTAAGAAAAGCAGGAGCAGTTTGTAAATGGGAAATAAAAATGGGAAATGAGAATCTTCTCAGTTGTAGCTCCTCTCTGTAATCGTTGCTCCATTTTAAAACACCCCTCTTTAATTCCCCGATTCGTTATCCAGTTCCCACAATTAAACCAGCAAAGACGAAAATTGTTCCAATACTAGTACTACAGATAGTGCTTGACTTACAACAGCTCGCTTAGTGACCGTTCAAAGTTACAACAGCATTGAAAAAAGTGACTTTTGGCTGTTTTTCACTTATGACTGTTCCAGCATTCCCAGGATCACGTGATCAAAATTCAGAGGCTCTGCAAATGGCTCGTGTTTATGACGGTCACAGTGTTCCCAGGATCCCCTTTTGCGACCTTCTGACGAGCAAAGTCAATGGGGAAGCCAGGTTCACTTAACAACCGTGTTGCTAACTTAACAACTGCAGTGATTCACTTAACAGCTGTGGCCAGAACTGTCATACAATGAGGCAAAACTCACTTAATGACCGTCTTGTTTAACCATGGAAGTTTGGGGCTCAATTGTGGTCACACGTTGAGCACAACCTGTGTCTCACTTTTTAAGGTCCTTCAAAGAGGCTATTTGACCTGCCCTTCAAGCACACTAAATGAGAACTGGGGAGTTCAGATTTAGCAACTGTGGCAAGAAGGGTCACAAAATGGGGCAAAATTCACTTAGCAACTATCTCACTTAGCAACTCCGTTGTGGTCATCAGTCAAGGACTACTTATATTTCTTATCGGATGGGCAAGCATGGCTGGGAAATAACCTACAAAAAAATGCCCGGGAAGCATTGGAGGCGTTTTTGTTTCTCTTCAGGGAAAAAAGTATGAAACAGACGAAAGTCAAAAAGTTCTTTGCCGCCAAAATGGCCAAGCGCGCGCATGCGCAAGCGATCCCTTCTAAAGTTTTTTTTTTCCCCAGCTCCCTCTTTTCCTCTCTTCTCTCCCCCGCCCGTTCGGAGGAGGGCGTGCCCCGGCCCCGCCCCTCTGCTCGCGTCCTCTCGCTCTCTCTCTCTCGCTCTCTCTCTCTCCTCCCCTCCCCTCCCCTCCCCTCCTCCGGAGCTTGCGGCGTCCGGAGTTGCTGATTGGGTGCCGCCCCGCCAAGGTGGTTTGCATAACTTCGCTCCTCCTCCCTCCTGCAGCCTGAGGGGCGTGTGTGCGAGAGCGTGAGCGCTTGTGTGGTGGGAGGGCGGGAGGGAGGGGGGAAGCGCGGATTGGTTGCTAGGCCGGTGACGTCAACGAGCCGGGGACGAGGGGGAGAGGAGAGACGCGGAAAAGGTCAAACTGAAGGCGAGCCGGAGAAGCGGTGGCTGCGGCTGGAGCGGCGCCCCTTCCCGGCAGGTACGGGCGAGGGAGGGAAGCGGGGGACTCGTGGCCACGCCCCTTAACTCACCTTGAGCAAGGGCGCGAGGAACGCCCCCTTGGGCTGGGGTCCCATTCTCCCCCAAAGGAGGGGGGGGCTACGCCTTCTGTTTCCTGCCCCAAAAGTTAGAAGGGTGCCCCCCCCACCTGAATGTTTGGGGTGCCCCCCCCAACTGCCTCACTTTCCTAGTTTTCCCCATCTGTGCACCCCCCAGAAAGCCACCCTTATTTCAGCATCCCTATGACCCCCCCAAAAAAGTCCAGGAAGCAGCATCCCCCCCCAGAGGCAAAAAAGACCTCATTGGGGAATGGCTATTTCTGCCCCCTTCCCCTAAGGTCCATGTCAGTGGTTTTCAAACTTGGCAACTTTAAAAGGAGTGGATCTCGGTTCCCAGAATTCCCCAGCCAGCTCTGCTATGCTGGCTGGGGAATTCTGGGAGTTGAAGTCCACACCTATCTTAAAGTTGCTGCAGTTTGAAAACCACTGCTCCGGACGGAACCCTTGATGCCTTAAAAGAAATGCAGAAGTGCCCTAGTTCTGCAGTGTTTTGCAGAACAAAGACTTGGAAAAGGTGAACTGTGGCAAAGGTTGAGCAAATTGGCTCCCTAGAAAGTGTGGGAACAGAGTTGCCTGCCAGAAATTGCCACTGAAGGATTTCATCGTCTTCCTTAGAGATTGAATTCTTCTGCCTTCTTTCTCTCTCCTCCACAACAAGAAAAGAGAAGAAGAAGAAAAAAACTCTTTTCCTTCTGCAGTTTCTTCTAATTGTCCTCTTCAGACTTGCTTTTCTTTACTTTTTCAACATGCTTATCTGTAATCCATAAGGAAAAGTTGCTTTTAAGAGGTTGTCCTGCCTGACATTTGGAAAAGTGGACGGGGTGGGGTGGGGAAGAAGTATTGTTTGGATATAGTTTCTCCTCGGGATGGGTGGATAGGAGCTGCTGAGGTTTTTTCAAGCAGAGGAAAGCCACAGCTGGAGACCCAAGACCAAGACCCATCGGCTTTGGAAGGGGATAAAAGTCAGGTTGGCCTGGAAGTAGATGTTTTTGGTGTCTGTAGGTCACTCCCCTTGAAAGCATTTTCAAGGGGGGGAGGAAAAGGCCATGTTGGATCCTGTTTTGGCTCCAAGCAAGTTGCAACATCGTTCGGTCCCACAATTTTGCGCACACAAAGTTAAAACTGGGTTTCTTTTTCTGTCTTTTCCCTTTACCACGGAGCGATTGAGACAACAAATTGGATTGAGGTCTGGTAGCTTCTGTTCTTTAAAGATACAGGTAGTCCTCAACTTACAACCGTTTGTTCAAAGTTACAATGGCAATGAAAAAAAGGGACATGACTGTTTTTCACACTTACGACCGTTGCAGCATCCCTTACGGTCACGTGTTCAAAATCTGAACTCTTGGCAACTGGCATGTATTTATGACTGTTGCAGTGTCCCGGGGTCAAGTGATCACTTTTTGCGACCTTCTGACAAACAAAGTCAGTGGAGAAGCCAGATTTAATTAATAACCCCCTCATAATCTAAATCGTTACTTAACCATTGCAGTGATTCACTTAACAACTGTGGCAAGAAAGGTCGTAAAATGGAGTAAACTTCATTTAACAACTGTCTTGCTTAGCAACAAATTTTGGACTCATTGCAGTGGTAAGTTGAGGACTACCTGTACAGTAGTTGGGAGAAAAAAATTCAGTTGTTAGCCTGGTGATACATAGAATTGAGGAAGTGTTATGTTGTGTTTAAGTTGAAAGAGATTGCAAGGTTAACAACGCCCATTTATATACCTGAATTGAAGTATGCATTCAGCATTTGTTTGTAAAAATATCAGTTCTATATAGTGAAACAGATGAAGAAACATCAGACCCCCGGGGAAACAGTTTTGTATAATAAGTACTACCTTCCTTCCAGATTGCAAATGCTAAAAGTCAGATGCTGGGGTTTTGATTTCAGAAAGATTGCTTGCAGGAAATACATGATTTTTTTAAAAATTGGGGGAAAAAAGCCCTTTTATGTCTAATAAGGACAGATTAAAAAAAGGGAGTTCCATTCACTGTGGTAAAAGCAGAGTAACTAAAAAGAGAGTTTTTGTGTAAAAGGAAGGCTGGGTTTACTTTCAAAAACTTTCTTCTGGCAGCAATTTTTTTTAGGAGAAAACTGAGTGACTCCTAACAGAACATTGCTGTTTAGAACAAACATCTCAAAGAATTTTTGGAAATGGCTTCATTACAAAGTCAGATCTCTGAAGATTATCCATGGGGTTTTAAAGATGTGCGTGTGGCTCTTTTTTAACCAATGTTCCCATGTAAACCACATTGACAGGTCCACATGTAATTACTTGGTGCTCAGCTCATCTGAAAGCTGCCTTTATTTTTCATAACACAAAGCCACCATACGTGTGCAAGCTTGGGGATGACACATTGGCATGTTTAGTAGGGAAAGCACCTGGATGTGCAAGTGAGCAATTGTTTTAAAACAAGATGGAAATGTTCCTCGGGTGAGAATGGGATATAAAGTGCTGTGTTCAGCTAACCACAAGTCAACTCCTTCAGAATCAGCTGAGAATTTTTCACAGCGTAATCTTAATTTGTACCCACCAAAGATATAAGCTTGCTGACTTCAGGTTATTTTTCTATCTCCTCCCCTCTCCTTTCACTTCCACCATTTTGCAGGGCGGCAGTAAAGAATGCTGAGGTGAATAAACGTCTTGGCTTTAATGAAAAATAAACTTTTTAATATTTTCACTTCAGGACATATTTTCCTCCCAGCTGGTTTTTGCCTTCGGAGACTTTCACCACCGGAATAAAGATTGACAAATGATTGATTCATTTAATTAACGAAGTAAAATGCTTCAATCCTTTCCTTCAATTGCTTCACTGGATTTCTTATTCCTAAGGATATGTTTCTGCACATTCTGCTTAATTAGACTGGGCTATGACTAATTAGCAAAACTAATTAGCAGGAATTTAATTTAGGGGGAAAGGGAACTCTTGATTTTTTTTAAAAAAAAGAGTTTGATTATCATCGAGTTGAAAGAAAGTGCTCTTTAATAATTGTAATTCAGTGCAATATGGTGATTTACGTTCCCAGAGCAAAGTTAGTAGGTATGTCATGGAACAGAGAAATAGTTTCAGGAAAGGAAATGAAAGTATTAAGGCTCAGCAGACTGAATTAAAAACAAAACAAAACAATTGTTCGCTTGTTTTAATTTGTTCCACAAAAATGCAGAAGCAGTTTCGAAATTACACCTTGGAGTATGTACAAGAAGCAGTTGCTGAATAGTTTCAGATCTGATGGATTTCAGATGGCTTGTAGATTAGTTTTCCAAGGTAATTGGCACTTTTTCAGATCAATAGGTAGTAAATCTTGGGGCATAGTGGCTGAAATTGAGTGATAAAATAAGAATATAACAAGCTTTACCAAATGTCGCTCAGCTCAGAGATTTTCTATTATTAATGGAAATAATTATTATTCAATGGAATAATGGTACAGTGCGCCTGTGTAGGTTTATTAATTCTGCTTTTGCAAGTCAAACTTTAGTTTACATGGAAAATATAATAGTTGAAAAGGAAAAAGTGAAGAGAATTGTAAAATAGAACCTGAAAAAGTAACAGAGCTCTAAGCTAAACTTTATTTTACAATATAGATAGGAAGTGCAATATATTATTTGATTGTAAAAGGCACTGCATTTATGGGAAAACTGGATTTTTAAAGCTTTATACTACCGTATAAATTCTATAGGAGTAAATTAGTGATTATATACTTCTTTCAAGTTAGACTTTGCTTAGTTTTGTTTCCAACAACACATACATTAACGTCAGAAATAAAACTCTACCTGCTTTTTGCTTGACAGGTTTTCCTCACAACCATTCATTTAGTGACCGTTTGAAGTTACAACGGACTGAAAAAAGTGACTTATTATCATTTTTCACACTTCTGGCAAAATCAGTGGGAAGCTGCCAGATTTGCTTAATGACCACACGACTCAACTTTGATTTGTTTAACAACTGTGGCAGAAATGATCGTAAAAGGTGGCAAAACTCAATAGCTGCCTATTAAGTGAAACTTTGGGCTCAGTTGCGTTTGAAAGTTTGAGGAGCGCCTGTATTTGTTTTGTTTTTGTTTTAACTATGCAATATTGGTATTGTAGATTATCATCTTTCATAATTTCAGATTTTATGGCTAATGTTTTTGATTTTGAAGTCTGCACGTAATACAAACGGATGGGCTGAGAACTGAATAAATGCTTATTCAGTTAGGAGAAGTTAGAGGCGCCCCAGGTCAAGAGGCCTCATGAAGCCCAAAGCTTTCCAACCAAGTTTTCCAGTCTTAAGGAATAAATATTCTGAGATTTTTTCACTGAATAGTTGATAAAGTAGAAGTTGAATATAGTTTTTAATTTACTGTAAGTTATTATCTTTATATAAGTTTCTCTAATGTTTGAAACTGGGAAAATAATATATCTCCCCAGCTTGAAACATTAGAGAAACAGAGATCAAGGTTAGATAAAATTGACTGGGTGGGAACTTTACAAATTTTGAAAGTAGTGTTTACGGGTTAGTTTTCCTTGAATAATTTTTTCAGAAACCTTGAAAAATGAAATCTGACATTACTTTAAAAAAAAAAAAAAGTTGGCAACGAAACTAAAGTGATTTTGAAAATCACTTTTAGAATCTGTAGCAACACTTATCTCGGGTATATTTAATTAAAAATATTAAAGCTTCCTCTTGAAACCTGTCAAGTTCAACGTAGATTGATAGAGCTTGCTTCTCTTGTCTTATTTCTGACCTTGCAGCTTTCTAAAACTCTTTGTTTAGAAGACAGCCAGGGGAGGGTATTCAAAATTCACTTTGAACTTGCAAAACTTGTTTAACTACATCTGCGCTTAACAGTGATAGTTGCTTTGTTGCAGATTAAAGGAAAAAGATAGACAGAAAAACCTGTGTACAATTGGGATAGGTGACAGAACGAAGGAGAAATCCTTGTGTCTACATCAGTGTTTCTCAACCTTGACAATTTTAAGGCATGTGGACTTCAATTCCCAGAATTCCACAGCCAGCAATGCTGGCTGTGGAATTCTGGGAGTTGAAGTCCACATGCCTTAAAATTGTCAAGGTTGAGAAACACTGGTCTACATTTATCCAGTGTTGTTTGTCCTAATTAGTGGATGATACTGGAATGTGCGTACTTGTGAAAGAATTAGAACATCAGTAGGTGGATCCCTTTTCTCTTGATGGATCAGGCCTTGGGAACTGCTACATCTTGGCATCTTTTTCCCTTGGGGAAGAGAGAGAGAGACAGATGTTTTATTTCCTCCGCCCTTCCAGGTGTGGCCACTGCCCCACAAGTAGTAGCTCTATACCTTGTGCAGCAAAATATCCCCACAGCGTTTTCAAGAATTTGATTTGTAATTTCAGGTATTCCCGAAAATAACTTTGTTGTGCAACTTCTGTAGGCTAATAACAAGTACTGACAATTCTCCTACAACCATTCCTTATTGGTGAGTTGAAGTCTTCTCCTTCCATCCTTGAAACCTATTCCATCATGAAGTGAAAAAAGCAAGGTTCTACATTTAGGCAAGAAAAACCAAATGCACAAGTACAGCATAGGTGGCACCATGCTCAATAGTAGTAACTGTGAGAGGGACCTCAGAGTCCTAGTGGACAATCACCTAAATATGAGCCAGCAGTGTGCTGCAGCTGCCAAAAAGGCCAACACAGTGCTAGGCTGCATTAACAGAGGGATAGAATCAAGATCACGTGAAATATTAATACCACTCGTCAATGCCTTGGTAAGGCCACACTTGGAATACTGCATCCAGTTTTGGTCACCACGATGTAAAAAAGATGTTGAGACTCTAGAAAGAGTACAGAGAAGAGCAACAAAGATGATTAGGGGACTGGAGGCTAAAACATATAAGGAACGGTTGCTGGAATTGGGTATGTCTAGTTTAATGAAGAGAACGACGAGGCGGGGGGACATGATAGCAGTGTTCCAATATCTCAGGGGCTGCTACAAAAAAGAGGGAGTCAAGCTATTCTCCAAAGCACCTGAAGGAAGGACAAGAAGCAACGGATGGAAACTAATCAAGGAGAGAAGCAACCTAGAACTAAGGAGAAACTTCCTGACAGTGAGAACAATTAATCAGTGGAACAGCCTGCCTCCAGAAGCAGTAAATGCTCCAACACTGGATGTTTTTAAGAAGAGACTGGACAGCCATTTGTCTGAAATGGTGTAGGGTTTCCTGCCCGAGCAGGGGGTTGGACTAGATGACCTCCAAGGTCCCTTCCAACTTTACTACTATTATTATTATATTATTATTATTATCTCCATTCCTGATCCCTAACCTGCCTCTGTGGTCTTATTTTGTAGCTTGCTCACTTGCTTCCATGATCATGAGTGGCAAAGCCTAGGACCTTTGGTAGAATAGAATACAGTGTTTTGTTTTGTTACAGAATAACGGAGTTGGAAGGGACCTTGGAGGTCTTCTAGTCCCAACCCCCTGCTCAAGAGGAGACCTTATACCATTTCAGACAAAGGGTTGTCCAATCTTAAAAATCTCAAGTGATGGAGCACCCACAACTTCTGGAGGCAAGTTGTTCCACAGATTAATGGTTCTAATTGTCAGGAAATTTCTCCTTAGTTCTAAGTTGGTTTCCATCTGTTGCGTTCTCCAAAGCCTTCAGGTACTTTGGAGAATAGGTTGACCTCTTCTTTGTTGACTGTCTCCTCAGATAGTGGAACACTACTATCATGTCATCCTTAGTCCTTCTTTTAATTAAACTAGACGTAGTCAATGTCAGTGATCAATATAGTGGAGATTTTGTACATCTTAAGGCTGCCCTTGCATGGTGTCAGGATAAGCAGGAGAAAGTATTGAATTATTTTAGCATTGGGGCCACTATGGGAGATATGAAGCTTGACTCATTCATGGGGTAGAGACTATATGAACACAGCGTCATAAAGATATGAGAGAACAAACATCTTGCTAAGGAATAATTGTACTCTGATTAGCTGCAAGTGAGAACATGACTGCAGCATGTGTGAACTGTATCATAAAAAGTGTCTATTTCTAGGCAGAGTTGTGCAATAATGAGTTCGTGGCTTAAATACATGAATCAGGGATGTGTGTGTGAGTTTTATTGTGTTTCTAGTTTAGAATTTACTGTAAGACCCATTTAAAATTGCCGCCTTATGATAGGCACGCTGGTTGAGGAATTCTGGGAGTGGAAGTCCACAAATCATAAAAGGGCCAAGTTTGAAGACCCCTGTACTAGTAGAATGATAAGGAGACTTGAGGAATCATTGAAAATCTTCTGAGCAAAGGAGGAGAACAACAATTTCCCCATTGACTTTGCTTGTCAGAAGATCGCAAAAGGGGATCACGTGATCCCAAGACACGGCAACCGTCATAAATATGAGTCATCGTATCTACATGTAAATCACATGACTTTGGGGTTGCTACAACAGTCATAAGTGTGAACTGTTGTAAGTCAAGGACTGCCTCTATTGCCTTGATCTGCCGTTTATTAATATTTCATTAAAGTGTCATATAGTTTGTGTTTGTTGCAGAGCAGTCAGGTTAGCTTTAGGCGCAAGTGATAACAAACCGATTTGAAATCGTCAATTTGTGGAATATAAGAAAAATCAATAATTTTTCAGTTCTCCCGTCAGGCTCGAGTAGAATGTAGGACGCATTTTGGTATTGATCAGATGTGTGCTTACCTGGGGAGCGATTTTGACTGTAGTAACAAACACTCTAAGTCAGATATAGATTAAATCAGCTAGGCCCAACATTTATCTACTTGTAAGTGGAAGTGAAAGTTAGACAATGAAAGGAAAACAAAATATTAACAAGAAGTGCCCTAGGTAGCATTGCAGCTGTTGCATCTGAAGTTTTCTCTGAGCTGTTTCTGAAATGTCCAGGAGAGTGGCATCAGTCTGTTTTTGTGTAATTTTTAATATCCCTTTGAGGGAGAAAGAGCAAATGAAACCCAACTGAATTGGAAAAAAAAACCCACCAATTGGTTATTTATTTGATTTATATCTTATTTTTCTTTTCTGATGAGGAATCGTGATGACGGCTCAGGCTGAATGGCTACACTTCATTATTTTTGTCATGTAGGATGATTGCTTTTCGTTGTCATAAATAAGAACATTATAATAAAGGCTGAATGCATTAGCTCCCAGCGTGATCTTGGGTGTTGTGGCTGAATCATGCAACCTTGTAATATATGTAAACTTTGTCCTCTGAGCATCACGATTTGATTTACAGTATCCCTTGGGTGCTTCTCCTTCATGCTCCTGTATCAAGCTGCCTTTGAGGAGATAGCAGTAGCAGACCATGATCTGGTTTGTTTCTTTTTAAAGATCAAAGGTTTGGATCTGTAAGCTTTTGTCTGTAAGCTTCAAGGTGGCTTGGTACTTGTTATGTTTTTATCTCTGTGAAAACAGGAGGGAAGGCCTGAAAAACATTATAATAGAAGATGCAATATCAGAGAGTTGGGTTAGGGCTCTTGATTGTAGTGTTGGGACATCTGCAAATATTCCAGAGGTGAACATAATCTCTTTCATCCCAAACTGGAGTTTCTTTTGAGATAATTACTAGTCCATTGTTGTTCTGTTCCTTGTCTAATGCTGCTGTTTGGTTTAACTCTTTTCCATATTACTTAACTGTATCAAGAAAGGCTTAAATCCAATAGTTTGAGTTTCCTTACCATATAGAAATATAAATGCACCACAAGGAACAAATATTTTTATTGATGGTGTCTTGCTTTCTGGTCAATACATAGACCTACTAGGCAACAAAACAAACAGTTTGCTATATGTTTACTTCTGTAATTTTTAGTTGAGATCCCAGTTTAATTTTTGGAATGTCCTAGTAGTGTTTGAGCACCCAGATCGAGCCTCGCCTTAGCTATTTTCAACATCATCTAATTGCTGTCATCTTCTGTGTGTCAGGCATGCAAGACCAGGTCCACACGTGAAGGTCCAATTAAAATGATTTATGGTTAAACAGCCTATGCACACAGGAATCTTCTCAACTAATGGTTACCACCTGCTTGGGATTAGACAAGGGTCAGTGAAATTCAAGGGAAGTTGGACTTGTCTGCTTGTGGCTACCTAAGGATTCTAGACTGATCCCTCTTTTAACTCTGCCCCCAGTTTCTTCCACTCCTGCTCCTATGCTATGTTTTGTTAATGTCCTTATTCCTGTGCCTCAGTCCTCTTTAAAGGTGTACTATAGCCTCCGGTAGTAATTTATTTATTTCCATTTCCAGAATATCTCCAACATCTCATTATACAAAACAGAATATAGAAACGGCACAGGCAGAGCTTGCTTACTGACCAACTGATTCAATGACTGTTTGGACTTCATTCTAGAGGGAAGGGGCCATGACAGAGGAGCCCCTGCTTTCTGGATCCTGAAAGATGGCACTGTTTGTTTGAAGGGACCTGGAGCACACCTATTCCATTGGTTCTTGCCAGCTGGGCAGCAACCACAGGAGATAGGTAGTCCTTCAAATGACAGGATCCCATGTCATGTAGGGCTTTATCGGTAATAACCAGAACTTTGGATGACAGCTGGAAGCAGGGGTGTCATAGCATAACGAGGCAGGTCCATCATCACTCATGCCATAACATTCTGGACCATTTGCAGCCTATGAGTAGTCTTCAAGGGCCGCCCTAATTAGAGAGCCCATTGAAATAGATTGAATAGCTTTAAGATGACAAGGGCACGCGTGACTGCAGGGCCACCCTTTTGTAATCAAACAAGATGTCGCCATTATTTCAAATGAGCTTCATCCACACCTGATATATTGGAATCGCAACTTGAAGGCTTCCCCGAACATCATGGCTGCTAGCCATGTCATCAGAAATTCTGGAATTTTAGCAGTAGGCCATCAGGTTGGAGAACATAGCTGCATAATGTAGCGGTGTTTTTCTAATTTGGGAGGAGTGGCTGTTCATGCAGACTCATTTGTACGTTAAGACAGA